TGTGTGTGTGTGTGTGTGTGTGTGTGTGTGTGTGTGTGTGTGTGTGTGTGTGTGTGTGTGTGTGTGTGTGTGTGCGCGCGTGTGTGTGCGCGCGCATAAGTGCATACATTTAACTATAATGTTTAGAGGGTCTATTTGTGCCTTTGATTACATTATATTGTATATAACATTTAATTCCACTGTATGTTCATGCAATTCGCTATTTACTTTGCATTGAAATCCCCCTTGCATACTAAATACTATTTGCCAACTCTTTTACTCTCTGGAGAACAAGAATAACGGATCGTTAACCTGCAACAGGCACGTGTCAGTGAGGTTGTTAAAGGAGTCGCAAAGTTGCCGTCTCTTCATGCGAGTCACTGCCTCCAACTCCGCAATATCTCCTCTGGCTTGACTGGAAGCTCCGCCCTTTTTCGGGCTGGCTCCTCCCACTTCCAAGAGCATTCGCTGATACATCTTCAGTGTTGCTGTATCTTTCTAATAATCAAAGAGAAAATTCTTAATTAACCTCTGCTTATTAGTCTCTCAAAAAATAAGTTTCCATTGATACTTTATTGAATATATATATATATACATATTGTTACCGCTCAAACGAACCAGATCTTGAGCTGTAAATTCTAAGGCTTTGATCGTCTGCTGACTGTGACCTTTCCTCCGCGCGATGTCAACAGGTGTTTGACCTCGGAATGTCCTGGCACACCGCAGGGCACCCAAGAAAAGGAGTACTTTTATGACCGCCAGGCTGTCACTATAAGCAGCGTGGTGCAAAAGTGTCCAGCCAGCTTCGTCTTGGTAGTGTAGAAGGTCGGGGTATTTGAGGAGCCATTTCACCACCGTATTTTCGCGGTTCTTGCGGGCGTAGTAGATGGCCCACTTCCCGTTTTCTATGAGCATCTTTTTCCTTCTTTCCTGGCCGTGAGAGATCAAAAGAAAACGGTAAGAAAGGTGTAGTAATGTTTGATTTTTTGAACCATTACTACATCGTATTATGTCAAGAATTTCAGCAAATAGTTCAGCTTCACAAATCATTCTGCACTACAGTCGCGTCATAGAACTCATAAAGCAGAACTACTATTATTATCGTTATCATCATTATCAGTATCACCATCATCATTCTCATCATGAGACTTTTCATTATCATTATTAATATCATTATCATCACCACCTTTACCAACTAGAGAGATGCGAACACGACGAATGCCCAACACCGACTGACAATCAGAAGCACAAATTCCGACATGGCATCTCAGAATCGACTGAGATGCCATTTGGGAATTTAATTTGTTTACTCACATTTTTCCTCGTACATTTCTGTTTACTCATAACGAAGGCAGAGATATGCCTGAAATATGGTTTCAAATATATCTTTGTACATTTAGACCTTGTTCATTGCCACGTATCACTTGACTGAAACCGAGGTACAGTTGTGCAAAATGATGCCCTATTGTGTACTGTGATTCGTACTACATTGTACATACCTGATCTCCTGTACTGAATATACACGAGTACTTACTAATATGTTGCGTAAGTAGTCAGCTGGACAGGTTGCTATTTTTTCGAGGATGTGGCCCACGTGATTGCTCTTAGACACCTAAAAGATGTATATATATATATATATATATATATATATATATATATATATATATATATATATATATATATATATATATATATATATATATATACATATATATTCATAAATACATACATGCATACATACATATATATATATATATATATATATATATATATATATATATATATATATATATATATATATATATATATATATACAAACATACATGCGTATGTATATGTATATACAAATAGATAGACTGATAGAGATAGATATTTATATTGATGCAAATACATACATATATACATATTCACACACACACACACACACACACACACACGCATATATATATATATATATATATATATATATATATATATATATATATATATATATATATATATATATATATATATATATACATATATATATATATGTATATATATTTGTACATATACGTATATATGTATAAGTATATACATGTATATATAGATACATATATATGTATATATGTGTGTGTATATATATTTGTGCGCGCGCACGCGCGCGTGTGTGTGCGCGTGTATGTGTGTATATATATATTTCCACGTGTGCGTGCGTGTGTGTGTGTGTGTGTGTGTGTGTGTGTGTGTGTGTGTGTGTGTGTGTGTGTGTGTGTGTGTGTGTGTGTGCATGTATAGATAGATAGACAGATTTATATTTATGTATGTAACATAATGCACTATGATATATAATATATACAATATATAAGATGAGTAAACATTCGTTCATTTATAAATCATTTGTCTATCAGCATGACTAAATACAATAGTTAAAAAAAGGAAAATTACAATAAGTAAATGGAAATGGAAATAATATTAAATAAATAAATTTAAAAATAAATTAAAAGAAAAATACAATTAATAACAAAAAACTGCAATAAGTGAAAAAATGCAATAAATAAAAAGAAAGAATACAATGAATAAGAAAACATACAACAAATAGAAGAGAAAAAATATTAAATAAAAAGTACAATAAATTTTAAAATGCACTTAAAAGAAAAATGCAAAATATAGAATAAAAAAATAAATACAATAAATGAAAAAACTATAAGAATACAGTAAATTATTTCTAAAACTACAATAAGCAAATTAAAAAAAAATCAACAATTCTTTTTTAAAAATAAGTAAATAAATAAATAAAAATTAACAAAAAAACACCATAGATAGGAAATTCTACAAATACAAAAAACTATAAAGAGACAACAAACAACTTCGTTTAAAACAACAACCTGCTTGGGGATTCGGTGCAGGTAGTCCCCGACGGTGAGGCTGGAGGGACAGCACTGCAGAAGCCACAGCACTACACTCCTCTGGCCATGGGCGGCGGCCAGGTGCAGCGGCGTCGACAGGTGGTGGTTCTGGCTCCCCAAGGACGCCCCTGCCTCCTCCAGCTGGCTCAGTACCCGCAGGTGGCCTCTCGCGGCGCTGATGTGCACCGCCTGCCACCCTGTGTCCGGATTTGGGGGGGGGGGGGATTAGAGGGATTGGAATCGCAAAGAATTTTTGGGATTGGGGTGGTTGGGCTGAGGAGGGGCTGTGGTGGGAAGGATGTAGGGGGGTGGAGGGAGGGGTGAAGGGAGGTGGGGTTGTGTTTGTGTGCGTGTGTTGTGTGTGTTTGTGTGTGTTTGTGCGCGTGTGTTGTGTGTGTTTGTGTGTTGGGTGTGTTTGTGTTGGGTGTGTTTGTGTGCGTGTGTTATGTGTGTTTGTGTGTTTGATGTGTTTGTGTGCGTGTGTTGTGTGTGTTTGTGTGTTGGGTGTGTTTGTGTGTTGGGTGTGTTTGTGTGCGTGTGTTGTGTGTGTTTGTGTGCATGTGTTGTGTGTGTTTGTGTGCGTGTGTTGTGTGTGTGTTTGCGTCTGTGTGTGCGTTTATGTGTTTGTGTGTCGTGTGGGTGTGGATGTATGTTTGTATCTATGTGGTTGTGTGCTTGTATTTACTAATATATCCCTACATTTATTTACTCAAACATATTCACCTATGTACTGGTTCGTTTATGTTTTTATCTGAATTTTGAATACACATTCTCATTCATAAATACTTATCATCTTCAAAGTAAAATGGAAATATGTAAGTATATTGTGCAGCTCTCTTCAATATACATAAATACAAACATGTACGTTTTAGTGTGTTCCATCTTGAGAGTGAGGAGTACGAGCTTAAATAAAAATCGAACCATATTAAAACACGTATATATAATTCACATAAAATTGCAGAACTTCGAAAACCATTTTTTTATTGAAAAAAAATGTAATTAAATTTCAAGGTTTTAGAATATCCAAAATCGGGATTAAAAAAAAAAAAAAAAAAAAAAAAATCACTTTATCCTTCCCTTACCATCACTGTCACAGGCTTCTGCATCTGCCCCGGCCTGCAACAGGATCTTGACTACTTCTGTGTGGCCTCCGAATGCTGCAAGGTGAAGGGCGTGGCGACCTGAGGGGGGGGAGGTATCTAGGTACTGGATTTGGTAGCGAATTTATATGTCCTCTTCATTTTTTTTTTTCTTTTTTCATTGTCGTTTTTCTTTGTTTTTGTTTTTGTTTTTTATCTCTCTCTTTCCCGCTCTCTCTTCATCTGTCTCTGTCTCTCTTTCTCTCTCTCTCTCTCTCTCTCTCTCTCTCTCTCTCTCTCTCTCTCTCTCTCTCTCTCTCTCTCTCTCTCTCTCTCTCTCTCTCTCTCTCTCTCTAGCTTGTTCGCTTGCTCGCTCTCCCTCTGCTTTTCATTCTCTCTCTCTCCATCTCGCACTCTCCCTCTCTCTCCCTCTTCCTCTCCTTCTCCTTCCTTCCCTCTCCCTCTCCCTAGCCTTCCTTATCCCTCTCCCTCTCCGTTTCCTTCTCTTTCTTCCTTTCCTTTCTTACTCCTTCTTCCTTTTCTTCTCCTTCTCCCTCTCCCTCTCCTTCCCTCCCTTTCCCTCTCCCTCTCCCTCTACCTCTACCTCTCCCTCCTCCACTCCCTCCCCTTCCCTCCCTCTCCCTCTCCCTCTCCCTCCTCCTCTCCCTCCCCTTCCCTCCCTCTCCCTCTCCCTCTCTCACCTCGATCCCAAAAGTGGTTGCTCGGCAATTCCTTGTTGGCGCCCGACCGGAGGAGGAGTTGGACAATGTGGGCGTGGCCAGCGGAAGAGGCGTGGTGGAGAGCAGACCTCCCCGCTACTCTCACGTCGTCCACAAACGTAGGGCATAAGATCGTGTTCAGGATAGCCTTTACGCCCGCCACGTCTCCGTCACGAGCCAAGCAGGCCTAGAATAAAGAGGTTTAGATTTGCTCGCTTTATGAAAATAGATGACGTAAAAGAGTCGGATTCTACAAGTCTAAATTATGTAGGATTAGATGCATAAAGTCAGCGAAAACAAATGAAATATAAGAAAAACCAATGTTAAATATGTTT